AAATTTAAATAGTTATTTGATATCAGATAATCAATGCTGTGAAAAAATTAATAGCTATGGGCCATCGTTATTGACCATTTGACCATTACTTTTTATTGTTTTAAATTTCCAATGATGGCTTTCAACAGAAATCAATATGCTAACAATACGAATGATACATACATAATTTTTGCTATCAAATAATTGAAGTCGAATTTCAATCCATTTTCAATTACATGATACTTTACAAATTCTAAGGTAACCTAAAATGTGAACAATTTTAAATCAATATCTTTCAGGAAGATCATCCAACAATAATTCATGGTGAAGCGCAAAAGTCTATAGTACAGTCAATTACGCCTAGTTATAAAAGTGTTAGTGAAAAACAAGTAAGTTGTTATTATTCTTCTTTCTTTTTTTTTTAAGCTATCGATTTTTTAGTTTTTCAAAAAAGAAAAAAAAAGGAAATGTAAATGTTCATGAAAGGTGATAGTTATTTATGAGTGAAAAAAGTTACGGTAAGTTATTCCTTGGAGTTGAATTATTTAAGATTACAGGCCAAAGAAAGTAGTAAATTCTATAAAATTTCATTGGTTTCAAATTTCTTTTTCTTTCAATTAAATTATAAATTAATTAAAATTATTGATGTATAAAGTGAAATTATAGGTGCAAAGAATGAATTTTGGTTCAGATTTAAATTTACCAGAAGCTGTGGGTGATTATAAGGTATGCTTTTATTTTTTAATAAAATTTATTTTAATTTTTCATACAGAATCGAAAATATGATATCTAAAGATGATGAGATATTCTTTGATCCCATTATATCTCAATGAATTTAATTTAATTCAAGAACTTGAATTAATTCTTTTTGTTTTTCTTTTTTTGAATTCAAATTTAAATTTCAAGAACTCGAATTGATTTTTTTGTTTTTCTTTTTTGAATTCAAATTTATATTTAATCGATTGCTGTAAATTAATTTTTAGGTGAAAGAAACGCAAGATCATTTCAAACTGCAAATTATCGATCCAAAAATTACCTCAAATGCATCGATGCCAGCGCGTAATCGAGAAATTCCACGAATCCAACGGCGAAATTTAGATTTTCCAAGCGAACATAGTAAACGATCATTCCTAAAATTGGAACCAATGCAACAAAGAAAATTACGGGTATGCAAAAAATAAAAAAACTCTGAAATAATATTTCCTGGAATGAATTAGGGTCAAAGTTCAAGAGTGAAAATGTAATGTTTTGATAAATATTTTCATTAGGGAAAAGAAAATCATTTCGATTTTTACACATGCAACTATCATTTCGAACTTATCCACTTCAACTTTCCCAACTACTAAATGTAATATAGTCTAAATTTAAAATAACAATTAAAATTTTCGAATTTTAATTATATTATCGATTTTACCTTATTGATACCTTAATAATTGTGCATATAGGTTTACAGTAATAAAATTAATATTTTCTTGAATGAATTAGACTTAGAGTTCAGGAATGGAAAGTAAGTTTAAAAGTTGAAGCAGAAGTTTAACAAAATATATGTGGGCAAATATTTGAGGGATTACTGAAGTTAAAAAAAAGTGGAACTACTTTAATTGAAAATTTTGGCATAATAAAAAGCATTTAATGAGTTTGTTTTTAAAATTTCCTTTTTAAATCAAAATTAAAACCAATTTTTAAATTGAGAATGTTTGCATTTTAGGCTGTTGAAACACGACCTATCACAACTAGTGCATACTTAACAGAAAGCCTAGATCGACATCGTGATATGGAAGCATCACGATTAAAGGATTACTTAAAAGCACGTGAAAATGATGCTAATAAACCATGGGATAAGCCTCAATGGCCTGAAAAAAAGGTAATATATCAGCTTTTATTAGCTTGAAATAGCTTACATTAAACTTTGAAGTAATGATAGAAACCTGCTTTAACTAATTTCAGGCTACAAATGCAAATGATCAATCGCTTAAAGAACTTGCTGAAATTAAAAAGGTACGTTAGTAACCTTTTTTTTCTTTTTTTTTTGTTTAATTCGTTATTAACGTAAAATTTTATTAAATTAATTAAATATATTCCGAAAACATTATAAAAAAAGTAAAGGAAATGAAATACAAGTTTACCATAAAGAATATGAAATCCGATCATTTGAAAATTTAAAAAAAAAGAAGTTCAAATGAGTCATTATATTTGACCTTGTCAAATGATGTAGTGATTCATATTTGACCATGTTACGGAATAATAATCCATCATGTGACATATCATAAGAATGCATTTGATGAACAATCTAGACAATATGGCCTTGATAATGGAAAATGTCAAATGTGAATTACACAAAATCATTTATGGTCAAACATAATCAAATGTACATCCCTAACGCCACCGTAATTTGTTCATCTCAGTCATTAGTCCAAAAAAAAAACTTTCTCCTCATACTTTTTAATTTCAAATTCAATATTTTCATCTTTTTTTCCCCATTTCAGACCATTGAAGCCCTTCAGAAGGTAAGGTTTTTTTTCGTCTTTTTAATTAAACTTTTTCAATAAAATTATCTTTAATTGTTTTTTCATTTCACTTCTTATAATCATTTCATAAACAAATGTCTTAATTAGTTTTCTTAATTAAATGAGTTTAATTAATTAACCTTTGCAATTATAATGATGATAATTCCGCATTACAAAAGAAACAGCAATAGTTATTGTTGTAAACAACTAATGGTAAAACCATAAAATCTTTTATACCTTTTCACTTCTTAAAAAAAAAAATGACAAATTGAAATAAAAAATTTTGATGGGATAGAAGTATTTATTTATTTTATCATCAATTCTAAGTTTCAAATTTTCAAAATTTTTAAAATTTTCTCGAATTTCTATCTTTGAACTTTATATGTAAATTAGTTTGTTTGTCGTATGTCATTGTATTGTCTCATTTGCTATTCTTTGGTTTGTTTAATCAAGTTGGAGCTGAGATTGTATTGGCTTGGTAAGAGCCAAAAAAAAAAAGCACAGAAAATCTATTGGAAAGCAAGGAAAGGGAAGAATGCTATATCCGAAAATGTGAGATTTTATAAGAGCAATGAATGAATGGAATCGAAATTGAAATCGGAATTGGAATTCGAGGATCAGAATTCCGGATGAACAATGAAATAATTATTTAATGCTATTTCTTGGACATTTCGTCGCTATGGGAATGAAATAATGAATATTATTGCATGTATGTTTTTACAATCTTTTCATTTCTTTTTTTAAAAATTTATAGATTTTTACTTCTTAAACTTTTAATAATTACATTAACTTAAGCCTAGCACTAATTATCACATAAATGATTATTTCATTATTAATTATCACACCATTAATTATTTCACTATTGATTATCATACTACTATGAATTCCTCAAATGCATGGGATAGTTTTACTGTATTATATTTGGACAATAACTCGGATCTCTTCAAAACTTTATATATATATATATGACACTTTGGCGACATACTTCAAGCCTTCAAGAATATATGTTCTATAATTTTTTAGTATTACTTGATTGATTGATGGATTATTTAGGAATTTTGGGACGATTATTTTGCAAATATAGTAACTTTCAAAATAATAGAAAAAATAAGATTTGATTTCGGGTAATTAGCAAGTATGAATTTTATTTGAAATTTGTTGACATAAATACTTCAAGAAAACATGAAGAGTGTAGAGAAGTAAGCATTCTATGCAAATATTTGCATCTAAATGTGCTATTCAAATATTTCAGTGAAATATTTTAATGAAAATTAATTCTTTGATCGAATTAATGATTGGATAATAAATAAATGATTGATGAGATGACTGAATGACAATGTATGTGACAGCTTTCTTTGATTAATTTGCAATTCATTTTTTTTAATGCTTAATATATGTTTGCTATATTTGATTTTATAATTAATTTAATGAGTTAACATATTCAATTAATTAATTTAATGAGTTAACATATTCAATTATTTATTTACAATTATATATTTTAGTTAAATTTTAGAAAATTCAAAAATATTTCCTTTATTCTCATCAATGGATGTTTAATCTTCTATTTCAAATCTCATCCTTCCAATTGTTCACATTTAATCTTCCTGAAATTTTCATTTTAATTACTCTCTTCGTTTTGATTACTTTACAGTATTTCTCTACAGTAAGTCTCTATAGTTTTTTTTTTACTCTTTATAGGTTACTCAATTACTGTCTATTACTCGATTACTCTTTACTCATTTCGATTACTCTCTGCAGAATACAGTAAAAGCGTATAAATCATACTGCCACCTTATGTGTTATATTTCTCATATGGTAGCGATATAATTTATGAATAATTTTTGCGCCAAACAAAAATAAAACATTCAGAAAAGTTTTATTCAAAAATAAATGTTTACTTCAAAGTCACTTTCTTAACTAATTTTTCATTTTTCATTAAAATATATATATATGATATTTGAAGATTACCTTTAAGTAAGATTACCTTTAAACCAAATTAATTAAATCTAAAATGGAATTTAGGTGTCACACGGAATAGTCCATATTCAAGTAATGCAGTTGAATGTGCTTCTTCAAAGCATTTAATTTTGATTTGAATTGAGTTTGAAAATCATTTCAATCATTACTTTCTTTTTTTTCTTTTTGTCGTAGATAATTCGAAAGTTATTGACAAGAACGAATATAATTCCTATTTAGTATTTAAAGAAGAGCTTTATTAATGAATTGATTTTTAATCTTAATCATTAATCATCTTAATCTAATTTTATGATAGGATATCATATAAATTGCTTAATGATTAATAGGTTAAAAAATAAGTCAGGTAAAATTTTGAATTAAGTTTAAAAGAAAAAATTCAGTTTCAAATTTAAGAAAAAACCCGAAAATTTTTAGCTATACTATATGGTATCTTATTCTTCTTTGTTGACTTTTTTCTTTTTTTTTTTCTGATGTTTAAATTTGCAAAAAAATTTGAATTTTACCTCTTGTTTAAATGAAACAAGTGAATATTTTCAATCATACTTTTACGTCTGATATTACGCTTAAATATTACACGTAAATATTACATATCCACTTCAAATTTAAATTATTAAATCTATTAACTTTAAGAAAGGAATTAAAAAGAAAAAATTCTCTTAAAAAATCGAATTCCAATTGAGTTATTTTATATGTTTAAATCGTACCTGTCACTTCAAACTCTTCTTTGTCAACTATCATTCTTCTATTCGTTATTTCACTCAAAAAAATTTCCCCATTTTTTTTTGTTGGCTCTTTCGCTGATATATCTATTCCGATGAAAATTTTTGTTTGCTAAAGCACCTCCGATGAAAGCTCTAAATGTTGTAATAGCAAGCTTATTGAACAAAACCCAAATGAACGAACGAACTGTTCCTGTCACCTGTCGCCTGTTCCTCTACAAAATACTTGTCTATCTGTATGTCGCCGTCATTTCATATATCCTATAAGTATCTATTTGTGTGTGTGTGTGTGTGTATATGTGTGTACCTATCTGTGGTTCTGTGTGTATGTACGTGTGTGTGTACGTGTATGTGTATGTGTGTGTGTGTGTATGTCTATGTGTCTTCACAAGTTTGCATTTAACTTGTAAGGAAGTAAATATATGAAATTATGTTTTGTTTGCTTTTTTTTTTCTCTAAAGATATTAGTCTAGTTGGTTAACTCATTATATGTGTGCGTTTGTGTCTGTCTGTCTATGTATGTTACTGTCATTTTTGATTGTTGTAGATGATGAGGATGACGTTTAATTGCTAGCTTCTTCTCTCATCTGAGATATCTCAAATAACTACCGGGATTTCTGAGATACTTGTTAACCTATATGTTATTATTTGATCTGATGATATGACTGATAAAGAAGAGAGATAATTGAATAATATAAGAGTTACTATTTACTTATTCAATTGTATTCCATTGTCACACTATGTGTCAACAGTCTGGAAATTCAAGAGTAGTATAGTATACAATTAATTTTTCATTACAAACAATAATTGTTCTTATTTCTTAGAAAATGTCAACAGTAGTTTTATTGGAATAGGATTTTTCGCAGTTACGGTAAAGTCTTGTCGTTACTCTTTGTGTTCTATTTTGTTTATTGTTTATTTTTATGCAAATTATTTATCTGATCAATGTATAAAAATATTTTAATGAAGTAAACAATCCATTAGATTTATATTGATTTTCTTCATATCAATGATTAATTGAATTGAAAATATCTAATTAATAATATCTAATTATTTATTGCAATCTAAATTTTCTTAGCCCAAATTTCTAGGCTCTACCAAATATTCTTTCGCACAATCTTCTATTATCCTCAATTTTTTTTCAAATGTCGCAACAACAAATTTCACGCGAATCATTGTCATCATCAGCGACATCATCGACGACATCGTCGTATTTTGATGAACATTTTCATTATCGTCCATTACGAACATTTACCCCAGCACCATATCGTTCACCATTTCATACCTCAACCATTTCTTTGCCTGATATCAAAGAAGCTACTACTGAAGAAAATAATAGTAGCTGTAGCAG